GGGTCCAGTGGCAGGACATCAAGTGGGTCTAGAGTGCAGCACTGGTGAGGAGATGCTGAGGGAACAAGGCTTTAGTCAGGCAGAGAAGAGGTTACAGAGTGATCTAATAGCAGCTTAAATTAACCTGAAGAGCAATTACAAAGATTACAGAGCCAATCTCTCCTCGGTAATGCCAAATGATAGTTTTGTAAAAGTTTTAAAAGCAGTTATCATCCTTTCCAAAGCTTTTTTACAAAGAGTTATCTTTATTAAATCAAGCTGAAAATCCAGTCAATCCGTTTTAACTTTCTGCACTTTTCCCACTTGGACAACCAGAAATGGAACCTGCTTATTAAATATTTTCCCTTTTCTTCCTCCAGCTTTATTTGGATGGAAATAAAACTATACATAGAAGGTATTTCAAGAATAATGTTATAAAAGTAGGGCTGTTCATTGAACAAGAGTGTGAGATTTTAGACTTAAAAAAAGAGATGTTTGGAAAAGCAAGGAAGCAAAAAGAAAAAATTACATCTGGTCAAAAAACTTCCTGCAGGCTTCACAGCTTTTTTTTTTTTTAACAAGTCTGGGTGATATTTTTTCTCATAAAGCAAAATTTTTGAAATTTAATTTTGGAAATTGATCAAAATTCCCCAAACAGACTGTTTCATTTCTCTTTGCTGAACTGAACTTTTTCATTTTGAGTCAGTGTGGCATTAATTTCTACTTGCTAGAAATGTTACCGTGCTTAGTAGGAAATACAGTTCAGGAAAGTCATATGTCCCTTCTTTATGATTTAAGCTTCCCAGCAGATGGACTCATCATAAAAATCTCCTGATGTGTCATATCAGTTCAACTCACTGACCAACGACGGCATAATGCGAAGGATGCTGTTCAGCTCTCGGAGGAAGACAAAAGCTGCAGCCATTGAAAGAGCATCTCCCATGAGGCATACGGCAGCTTTGGTGAACACACACAATTGTCAAGGTGGCAGCAAAAGGTGTGATTTAACTAAGTGAATGAACACAAAATATATCAGAATTAAATGAAACGATTTAATGAACATTTTCCTGTCATAACATAAAAAATTCCCCAAAATAAAAACTGAAAGGAGGAAAAGAATATCAAAATAAAAAAGGGAAAAAACCCCGACTTGGGGACTATATTTTCCATTAAAAGATGGAAAACCAATTCAGTTTTCTCACCAGCTGCTTATAAAGTTGCACTTCACAGTAAGGGCCCATTTTGCAAGGTCCCTGAAGGCACCAGGGGGCCTGACCCTCCCTTGGCAGCCCACGGGGCTCCCCCACCCTGCCCACAGCCCAGGGCCCCACGTCAGCCACCTGGGGCCATTGGCCCCTGCCCCAGTGATGCCTCAGCCTGCCCCATCCCTGCCTCTGGCCCCGTCCCCTGGATGGGCCCCTCGGTGCCATGTCGTGGCCTTGTCTCCAGCCCTGTCTCTGTCTCCTTCAGCTCCTGACTGGACGCCCTGGATGGACCCTGCCCCTGGCTCAGCCTCTCACCCTGTCAGGGGCTGCCGATGGACCCTGACACCGACGGCTGTGGGTGACAGCGCCTGTTGGTGCAGGCACGGCCGGCGCGGGGCCCACAGGGAGGTGCTTCTGCTCCCTGCCATGTTGCCTGCAGCGCTGTAACAGCAGGACGAGCTCCAGCCTCGGCACAGGGCACCGACACACTCACCTGTGCAGTTACAAACCAGGGAAAACAAATCCTGCACCTCCCAACATGTCTTGGCAAGGCGGCGTGGCCATCCTCTGCTGAGACGTCAGACGGCGGCGCCCATCCAGCTTTTCAGGTCGGGATGGCGTGAAGTTTACTCCCATGTCTGTGTCATCAGCTGTGCCTTACTTCCTCCTGCAGGACCGGTTAAATATTAACGCAGCGATAGCCGTATTTGGGCGGGGGGAAGGGGAGAGGCAATCCTTACCTCACCATATCGCGGTGACAATGTCAGGGCTGGTGCCTGCCCCGGGGCCTGGCGGCTGAGAGGCGGCAGAGGTCGGCGCTCCTTCCCCGCGGCACCTCGGGCAGCCGGCCCCGCTGCCTGAGGAAGGCTTCCCCGGGGCGAGGAGGGGAGGGCTGGCCTGGGGCTCCTCGCCTTGAATGCTGCTGGCCTCCTCCTGTGTCCCCCGGGCGGAGGGTGCGAGTGGGGCCTGTCGTCAAAGGGAAAGCAGTGGGAGACACCCTCTCGGCGTTCGGGGAAGTGATCCAGGTAACCCCTCCGGAGCCATTATTCGCTTCCCAGCAGAAGGATCTGGCAGCTGAAAGATAATTTAACCCTCTCCCCTGCTCCTGCCTCATTAGGGAAGCCCTCCCTGGGCCAGCGGCAGTGGGGTGAGCTGGGGTGTTTTGCGATCCCCATCTCCTGCTGTGCTCCCCGGTGTTCAGGGTGGGTGTCCCCCGCATCGCAGGGTGCCCAAAGCATCGAGCCCTGCTCTGTGCTGGGATGGATCTGGCTGCTGCTCCTTTAGGGCGATGGTATCAATATTATCCCCTTGCTTCCGGCATGGATGCGGGAGGGAGCAGGCTCAGAGCCGTGCACGGCAACACTGGCGATGCCAGTCACCCCACGCACCTGCAGGGAAGGTGAAAAGCAGCTCAGGCCAAAACCCAGGTATTTAATTCATCATCGGCGAAAATATCTTGTTTCTTCTGGGGATCGGGTATATTTCCTGGCCCTTTGAAAGTCCATTTTGAAACAAAGTAAAACAAAACGTTTAGATCCCTTCCTTTCCCGTCTCGCTTTACTTCACCCCAAGATATTTACTGATTTTGGCCTGAATTTGGGCATAAGATTCTAGCAAGTTTATTCTTCTCCATAAAACTTTGCTCAGCTCAGCTTGCATCGGTGCAGCTGGATTTGTAAGCGGAGGTATGAAGGCTGCTGCCCTGGCCGGCGGGGTCCTCTCCATGCCTGTAGATCCTGCCTGGGATCACAGCCTCCTGTAAAAGGCCACGGCCCTGGCTTTTGGATTTGTTTCCTGGTGCTTTACTTGGGCTGTTTCACTTCTTATGACACATAATACTAGCTCTTAAGGACTACTGACTGATTTGTGTACGGGCTGAGAGCTATCACAGTGACAGAGCAAGGAGAAATCCCTCCAAGGTGTGCATGGCAACCCTCCCGCACACGAAACCTGGAGGTGAGAAAAAACCAAAACCTTTCAAAATGCACCGGGCAAACCCAAACCAGCCTACAAACTAGCGCCCCCCCCCCTCCCCCGCAAGTGAAGAAATCATCTCACAGATTCAGCTGGCAGCCGAGCCAGTCAGGTTGCAACTGCTGCAGTAAACTCAGTGAGACCCCCTGCTTAAAGCACCGAGCAGCGAACACTGCTCAGGTATAGCTTGATGCTGCATCTGGGCATGTTTGGAAAAACAGCAAAAATGCTTTTTTGTTGGTTGTGGTGGTGCAGCGGGCAGGGAAGGTCTGGACACGAGGCATTCCTCCCACCCAGGCACCCCATGAGAGGCACTGCCACCCACCCCGTGCCATCCCACCACTGCTATTTTCACAAAAGCCCTGCTGGGAATTAATGCAGGGTCTTCACACAAAACTGTGAAATGAACTGCTTACTTAAGGGCAGCAAAACAGCTGGGCCAGGGCTTTTTTGTTTCATGCCTTGGTGTGGTTTTGGTTTTAGCAAAAGGGCGGTTAAAAAAGTATGCTTATTACAGGAAACTCAGGGTGTCTCCGTGGTAATACTAATATTTCTGCATTACACAGAGCTGCCACAAAGAACACCCCTGAAATCAAAAACACTTTCCTGACAAGAAATTTTGGCTGGCCACAAAACCATATCCTCTGTCCTGTGTCCCTTTCATGAAGGCAAGCTTCAATTTCCCAACTGAGAAGTTTGTAAACCAAGCAGTACAATCAAACTCTCTCCCACATATTTTGAGGGGGAGGACAATAATATCACACAAGTGAATCACAAATGCTGGAAAAGCAGAAAATGCAGAAGTAAGGTGATGGCTCCCACCCAAGCTCTGTATCTTATATCTGACCATGGTGGAGAGCTGGTGGTGTTTTATTTTGGGGTGTAAGAGGCACTCTCTGGTTCAGAGAAATAATTCTGGGGACCTTCTTTGCACTAGCAGCCTTTCTGAGTGCTCAGTCTGGGGAGCTGGGAGGAGATTTGGCGTTTCTCATCCTTGCCCCAAGGCAGGTGGGACAGAGAGGCCAGGTGGCAGGAGCTGTTCCTCCTGGCCATGGTGGCCCGTGTGTGGTGAGGACCTGACGGGACTGCAGCAGCAATGATGGTACCAGGCTCTGCCTGGAAATGTATGAATAGGAATCCTAGTTTTGGAGTAAAGCACACAGAAAAAACATCAAAACAGACTTTTTGGATGTAGCGGTGCATTGGGATATATTCCCACTTCCTCTCCCGAAGGCTACTTGGCGCAGGAGGCATCAGTTTCTGGAGGGGGGGTAACAGCCCCTTTGTACGGAGGTCTGCTCCCCTATGACCCCAGGGGAGCAGCTGGTGCCCTGCGCAGTTGCCCTGCATGACAGTAAGTGATGGAGCACAGGGTTCATTAGTCTGCCAGGACGCTGCTGGTGGCACGGACGGTGCACCCACAATGCACATGCAATTGCGAGCAGCTTAGAGAATTATTTTTCCCAGCTGCTCATGATTAACTTTAATGATGCAGATGGAGCTCCCCTGACACAGTCAATCCTGAAGCAGTAGTGTTGTAATAGCCAGGAGGGACTAAGGGCACAAGAGATGCAACGACCATAGGAGGAGGTTTCTCTGCTGAAGAAAGCTCCTCTACTTCTTTTGAAACAGTTGTTTTGAGCAAAGATACTGCTTTCCTCCAAACCCTCTCTCATTTAATCTTCTTCTCTTGTTGGTAATACAGGTAATACGTTTTATCACAAGACGCAAAGCAGCAGCTCATGACCGAGTTCCTTGATAAGTTCTGTCCTTCAGCGTCTTCTCAAATATGCGGTGACCACTGGTGGCTTTCTGCATTAGGGACCAGGAGAGAATGCTCCAATGGAGAGGTTCCAGAAACTTATTTTAATTCCTCTCATCTTAACTGCCTCACTACCAGGTAGGACACATTCATAACCCGTAAAATGAGCCACAACGGACAAAATGTGTGAACTAATTTTAAAGCCCTGTGAATGGCAGTTACTGTCAACATCAGGTTGAACAGTCAGTCCCAGAGGGGAATTATTTAAACTGTTTGAAATGGTTAAGTTTGCGTTTCAAGCCTGAATGATCTGATGGCTTAAGGTGGGTTTCAGTATGCAAGAGTGAGCAGTGGATGGGGTGGGGAGGAGATGAGGAGACTGCCCTCTCTCACTTCCACTGAGCAGGGATGTCCCACTTATTTCTCCCTCTCCTTGCGTTCATCTTCCTCCTGTCTGTTTGGGACTGCTTTTGAGGGGGCATCTGTAGACAACTCAATATCAGCAGCTGGTTTTGCTTCCAGAAATATGTGCAAATTATCATTTTTCTAGTTTGCCTCCAATTTACATTTCACATGCCTGAGTTTCAAAGTGAATTCAGATAAAAGGTATCTTGGTGGCAGAGCTTTAAAGAAAATGTGGATATGAAGTGAATAGTTGGGTAAGGGAGACAAGGATGATTTTTTTTTTTTTATTATAGTCTAGCTGGGGTTTTAACAGGCTCTGAAAGGAGGGAGCTGAAGTGGGATGAGAGGGAAGGTATTGTCATGGCTTAATAATTGGTGAAAGGAAACATAGTGCAGGAATAAATGAGTTTTCTGAGCAGAGTGTTGTTCCCAGTGGAGCTGCAGAAGGATGTGTGGTATTCAACAAGCTCTTAAACAACCTAGTGAAGAGGAGTGAACTGTGAGGTGGCAGACTTTGCAGGTGGTGCAGAATTACTTAGGGCAGCCAAATCCAAAAAGAGACTAGGAAGATTTGCCAAGAAATGTCATGATGCCAAGTGAGTAAGCAATAAAGGAGCAGAAAACATTCAATGCAAAGCATCACTTAACTGAAGATGTCTAGTGGGGAAAAATAATAAATATCTTGGAAAGAGAGTAAATTGCTGAAAAAGAGAGAAAATTTCACCACTTAGTGTCTTCAGCAAGGGAAATACAATGAAACCTGGCATTATACAGATCTGCAGAAAACTTATATCTTGAATACTGGATGTTTTGTTAGCCCTTCCATTTCAAAAAGGACGTATTAGTCTGAGAAAGGTATAAAGTGTGACAGAGGTGATCAAAGGTATGAGGAGGCCTTCATTACACTGGGATATTTTTCTGCCTGTGAAAAAGAAGAAACAGTAAAGATTTATTAAAATAATTAATTATATGGAGGTGAATGGTGAAATGGTTATTCACAACTTCTCATAACAAAAAGAACTAGTGGCAACCAGTAAAACTATCAGAAAGAAGGTTTAAGGCAAGCCAAAGAATGTGTTTTTCCTTACAGTATGTAATTAAATAGTAAAGCTCATGGTCACTGGATATGGGGGATTCCAAATTAAAAAAAAAGCTAGAAACAAATATCATGGAGGGTAGATCCATAGGTGCAGATGCAATCATTGGCTCCAGAAGTCCCTAGATCTCTTGGTTTTGGACACTGAGAAGTTATAAGAAGGAAGCTTCCATTTTTATTTGTTCTGTTTCTTGCACTGTCTTCCTAAGCATCCAGAGCAGAGTACTACATGTTTTAGAGGATTTCTATTACCCTTCACTAATGCTTTTAGTCAAACACTCCTGCAATGGGTGTTTTATTGCCTCACCCGCAAGTTGTACTGGGGTAGCAGGTGTTGCCCACACTGTGCGGGGCAGCCATGGGAGCACACCCCAAAGCAGAGAGAAAAAGTGTATTGTGGAGAGTCAGGTGTTGCTCTGGAAAGAAGTATTGCTGCTCTCAGGATATCAGGAGTCACAAGGCTGGGTGGTGTGGCTGGGCTGCCGAGACGGCTGCCTGGCACAGCCAGTTTGAGCATCCCCGTGGATGGGCACAGCATGCCCTTTGGCAGCAACAGCATTGCAGACCACAGGGCTGAACATGCAGTGCAGGGTCCCAGCCTCCTGCCAGGATGTTGGTGGTGGTGCTGCTGCGGTGCTCCCAGCCTGGGGACCCTCACCACTAGAGGCAAGAGGCAGTGCAGGAGGAGAGGAGGAGTAGTCCAGCAGCAGAGCCAGGAGAGGCTGCAAGGAACAGCTGTCAAACAGTGAGTAAGAGAAGAGATGGGAAGACACACTTGGGGCTGCGGAGAGGTTTGTATGCAGGTGGGTGGAAATTCTGGTTTTCAAAAAGCTCAGCTTCAGGGTTGTTGGTTTTTGAAATAAACTTGAGATGTGCTGAAGAAAAATCTTACCAAATCCAAACCAATTTATTGCAGAGCTGTTGCTGGAGCAGTGGGCCAGCAATGAGGCAGGGAAGGCAGAAAGACAAGGTGTGGTGAACAAGAGACTAAAGAAAGAGTGAAAAGAAAAAGGAATTTAAAACAGACTGGAAGGAAAAAAATGTAGAAATCCAAACAGAAGTAGCAGAGAACGAAGGGAGGAAGACAGAGACTAGACACAAAATCTGAAGGATAAAAGGCAGGGTTTATTGAACAGCAATACAGGTATAGAGGGAGAGATTATTCTGAAATATTATAATGAGGCTGAAAACAAAGGAATCGTTGTGCAAAAGGATACGTCCATCCTGTCCTTCACTGCGCTGCACCCAAATAGGTCACTTATAACAGAAGAAAGACAGGGTCAGGAGAGGAGAGGAGGGAAGGAAAAGAAGGTAGCCACGTCTCGATGCCCTTGTTGCTGAAACCTTCAGCATGAAAAAGTGGTCCTTTAGAGTTAGTTCAAGCGGGGAAGAAAAAACATTGGTGACGAAGGGCAATGGCAGTTCTTTGTCAAAAGAGGTTCCCTCAGTGCAGGCGTCATCCAGGGAAGGAAATGCACTTTTGTTTCTTCAAAACCCCCAGGGATGTGACAGCAAATTTGTGTGATAAAGGAGGGAATAAACAGCTTGTAAGGGAGTTGGTATATACTCTGCATGGTGTTGGGAAGGACTGAGCAACTGAAATACCATAAATACTTATCAGTTTAAGCAAACTTTCACCACTGGTGACTGCTTTATAAACATTTAATGACTTGCCTCAAAGAAGGTGTCCTAACTCAGCTTTGTTCTTCAAAAATCAAGGGGTAGATGCAATATTATGAAGACAGCCTAACATTTCCCTATTGCAAAGATGATATTTGCCTGAGTGGGATTTCTCATTGGTTGTGTGTGTGGAAGCAGATGTTAAACCAGCTGTTAAGAGCCGAACATGTAATTCCTGTAAAGTGCAATGACAATCTAGCCTGAGGCCTTAATTTGTCTAAAAGCAACCATCTGCAAGGTATTTTTTAAGCAGTATGTAAATAAAACTAGCACTAAAATTTTCTTCTTAGTGCAAGAAGCAAGGCCCAGCAAAAGGACTTACAGCACTGGCTTAAAGCACTGGTAACTGGCTTTAGGTCCCATTTCTGTCATGAATGTCCTCTTTGACCTTACATGAATTACTTTATCAGTGTTTGTCCGTGGATTGGACAATGGAACGCACTGTTGGTTCAGGACTCCATGTGCTGTTGCAGGATAAAAAAATAAAAGCAAAAAGATAAAGAGGCAAAGTTAAAACCACCAAAAATGTTTTGGCAGCAGGTGGAGAGGCTCATGAAGCTCCTTTTTTGGTTGTGCTGGGGCTTTACTGAGATCTAAATGGAGGCAAGGTTGAGCTATGTCCCACTCTTCAGTCCTCCTGCCACCCATAGGATCCCCATACCGGGCTTATGGACCTGTTCCCTAGCTCACAGAAGTCAGTGAAAGACCATCTATTGCTCCAGCAGATACGGTTGGTGGAAGAAGATATAGATCCTAACATGCCTATGGACTGATAAAAAATTATTATATTACATAAATGAAGGAATAACTCATCCCTACCTGCCTATACTGTCCTGATTGTCTGAAGAAAACAAAAGCAATATTAGCCATGTATTTTTAGAGCGGATGATCACTGATTATTCATGTTTAGGGATAAATTTCAAGACTATAATGGAACTCACAGACATGATCTCATAGCAAATGATTAATTAACAGCTATCAGTGTACTGAAAGTCACATCATTTATTCAGAGCCATGGCAAACCATGGCTCCTTAAGAAAGTGATGTGTTTGCACAGGCATGGAAATAAATTACAAATGTACAGAGATGAGTTTGCATTAAGAAGAGCAGTGTGGATAAGTACTGCAGACCCTGTTTCATGAGCAACTAAATGCATTTTGGTGTTAACTCTAAGGAAGTTTGTTCATGGTTGTGTCTATCATCATGGTAGCTGTTTATGTCCACTTCAGCCAGTCAGGAAGAATTAAAACAAAGTGTAAAAATCAAAAAACTCGGCACATGAACATGTTAGAGACACCATAGATGTACAGGGAGTAGTATTGTAAAGGCTGGCTACAACAGGAGTCAAGAAAAAATAGATAATGCAAAGACATGTTTGAGCTTAGGACAGTGTCTCAACCCTAGTAATATAAGTTATGAATAGGAATCATGACAACTGGATGAATGTCCCTAACATTCAGAAAGTGACAAATAGAAAAGAGAGGAAATGGCTTTTAGACATTTTGTTGGGTTAACTGTTTATAAAGCAATGTATTAAGGTATGCACATAGATTTGATTGCTGAGTTTGTCTTCAAGTTGTTTCATGTTTTAAAGCATTTCAGTTCACCTTCACAAGTCTGAAGAGAGCTTTGAATAAATGCTACTGGAAAAAACGAGCCATTTAAGTTGAACAGAAACATGCTTTACTGTATCTTATCTGGTTTTATTAACTATCAGTGGAAGCGAAGTTTGCTTTTCATTTAATGTTTTATTGCTCACACACAGATATACTTTGGAGAATGAGGTGCATGGCAGAGGTAACATAACCCAGGAAAGTGGAAAATTTTTGTAAAGGTTTTTGTAAACATGAGAGAACTCAGAGTCAGTCATACAAAGAACCAGGGAGAGCTAGGTTTGTATAATCCTGCAAAACAAAGAATGAAAAGGCTCTTGTCTGTAAATACGTGCGGCGGGTGGGAAGAAAGAGAGGAGCTATTTATATTAAAGAACAATTCTTGGCACAAACCTGGTTAGATATACACTGCCTAGGATTAAATGTGAGCTGGGAATTTGAAAATGATGTTGACATTGGAGCAATGAGATTACAGACCCTATGCCCTGGGTGCGTTCACTGAGGCTCTGGTTGCAATGTTGTAACTGAGATTGGGCTCTGTTTCCATTTGTACAACTATCAAACATGTCTTTTGTGTGTAACAATACAGCATATTCTCCCCTACTCATGACAGCTATTGACTGACTGAAAAATGAATTTTTCAATAACTTATAATTAATCAATTAATGAATAAGCTACCTAAAATATACAAAACCTGGGTTGAATGATACCTTTAAAAATCACTTCATTGACCTGCATACTCTTAGCAAGGGAGTGATGGCCATTCCAGACTTTCTTTCTCCTGGAAAATAATTGAACACTTATGCTCAGGCCAAATTTGCAGACACGGGGTTTTAATTAGACTGCTAAGGACTGTAGTATCTAATTGCTGTAATTATGCAGACTGCAGCCTGAATCGTTAGGGGTAGCACTGGCAGTCCTGGTGCTTAGCACGAATGTTTCCCAGTAAGTGATGAGGAACTCACTGGTGAGGTAGATCTCACTGGCAGGACTGCTTGGTCTGCAGAGAGCTTGTGAAATCTCCATCCTTGGAGATATTCAAAATTTGACTTGACAAGGCCCTGTGCAAATGGCCTAATGGTGAAATTAGCTCTGCTTGGAGCAGAGAGTTGGACTAGAGATTTCCTGAGGTCCCTTGCCACCGAAACCTTTCAATGCCCCCATCAAAGAGCAACTCTGTCACGGTGAGGTGCAGCTGACCGAGCAGAGCTTGTTCAGCCTGAAAATGAGATGGCGGCGGGGTCTCTAACGGCAGCTTGCCAGTACCTGCAAGGAGGTTGTCAAGAAAATGGAGCCAGGACAAGAGACGACAGGCATATGTTGAAAGAAAAGAGGTTCAGAGTGGACAAAATGAAAAGCTTCTTCCCCATGAGGACAGTCAAGCAGTGGAGCAGGTTGTCCATAGAAGTTGTACTGTCTCCATCCTTAGAGGTTTTCAAGCCCTGACTGGATAAAGCTGTGAGCAACCAAGTCCAACCTCAGAACTGATCCTGCTTTATCAGGGGGGCTGGATTGGAGACCTCCTGAGGTCACTTCCAACCTGAATTACTCTATGGCCATTTGGTCAGCTAGTCCTCCTTGAAAGGCATCAATAGTACCCCTGCCTTTGCTCTACTGGACATGGACATATCTTGCTTTGGGGAACTGAGCCAAAATCCAAAGGGATTCACAAGGAACAAAGACTCAGAGAAGGAGGTTCCTAATTTCACACAAGACTGCTCTCTCAGGTCCTGTTCCCTAAGACATCAACTAAATAATATCTGGTTTGTTCTTAGAGTTTGAAGTTTTGTCCCTTGTGAAGACTAGGGTATATGATGTTCTGTCTCTGAGAAATACTTTAAGATTTGCCCGCCTTCAAAATAGCAACTATTTTCCCTCGCTATTTCAGGGACTCAAGTCACAGCTGCTGCTTTGAAAAAAAGGTTTCTGCCTTCATCCTTCCTTCACTTTCTGCTTGGTAGAATCGAGCACTTCTGCCTTCCCACATGCAGGGGATCCACCGTCTGCCTGGGCAACAGCTGCACGTTCATTCCTCTGAGGGCAACAGGAGGCCCTGGGTCTGTTGAGGAGGAAAGGAAAACAGAATGCCTTCATTAGAAATGAGGTTTCAGTTCTGAAGAGTAGTAGCCAAAATTCATACTACCTTTTAAGGAGAAAAACTCATGAATTACAGCAGCTCTGGCAAACAGAAAGCCTGAGAATGTGGGCAAGGACATATGTGATGCATGCATGAGAAATAAGGGAAGAGGCAGATGAATAGGGGAAAGAGCATGGAAGGATATATGCTGGGGTGGCAGAAAAGCAGTGGCAATCTGAGGTATGGAAAAGGGACTAGTTACCTACTCCTTTATTTATTTAAAGTCCAGAGAACTCATGTATTCTCCTATTTAATAGTGGAACTTTTTTCATTCAGCAAAATGATAAGACAGCTTTTTAGTGAATCACTGAAAAGAGAAAGTTAGGTGAAATTGGAGTAGGAGGAGGAGAGACCAAAAATCAAATGCATCCTTAAAGAAAACCATTTAATCTAAGCTGGACCTGAAAGATTATCATAGAATCATAGAATTGTTAAGGTTGGAAAAGACCCTTAAGATCATCAAGTCCAACCATTAACCTATCACTGCCAAGTCCACCACTAAACCATGTCCTCAAGCACCACCTCTACCCGTCTTTTAAATACCTCCAGGGATGGAGACTCAACCACTTCCCTGGGCAGCCTGCTCCAGTGCCTGACTACCCTTTCAGTGAAGAAGTTTTTCCTAATATCCAACCAAAACTTCCCCTGGTGCAGCTTGATGCCATTTTCTCTCATCCTATCACTTGTTACTTGGGAGAAGAGACCGACCCCCACCTCGCTACAACCTCCTTTCAGGTAGTTGTAGAGAGCAATAAGGTCTCCCCTCAGCCTCCTTTTCTCCAGGCTAAACAACCCCAGCTCCCTCAGCCGCTCCTCATAAGACTTCAGCTCTAGACCCTTCACCAACTTCATTGCCCTTCTTTGGTCACACTCCAGCACCTCCATGTCCTTCTTGTAGTGAGGGGCCCAAAACTGAATACAGTATTCGCAGTGCAGCCTCACCAGTGCTGAGTACAGGGGCACTATCACTTCCCTGGTCCTGCTGGCCACACTATTCCTGATGCAAGGAAGCTATTGGCCTTCTTGGCCACCTGAGCACACTGCTGACAATTAGATTGTACATCTCCGTCTCTGAACTGGTTAAGATCTTTTAATCTATATAAACCTGTACTTCTTGGGTTTGTAATGATTGGCTTGGGGATGCATTATAACAATATAGCATTTGACTACTGTTTACTCCTGTACGATTAACATTACTCAGTTGCAATTTCAATTCACCATATGTATCTTTTAACTACTTACTGACAAGCATTATAGAAAATGAGACAATAATCTTTTCCTGAAAGTATCAGGTGCTGACCGCTGTCGGAGGTGAAGTGCCAGCTCAGCTCAATCAATAGCCTTTCCTGATAAACAACTAAGTGCTTAATACCCCAGTGCTCCTAGTGAATAATACTATTTGAACCAGGGCGCCTGGCTTTTTAGCCTTAAATTGCTGGCAGTAAAAATTAAGTCAAAGGCCTTGGTGGTGGTGGTGTTGTATATGTATTTACAGATTGTGTTTTTTCCTTGCTTCCAGGTCTTGGCTTTTGTTACTCTATTATAAATGGCCCTACTAATGCAACAGTCCTCGCTGGTTCAGAAGCCCGCTTTAATTGCACTGTGTCAGTAGGATGGCTGATTCTCATGTGGCTATCCAATGGAAATCCTGTCCTCACTGTCCTCAGTTCTCAAGGAGCTGTTGAAACATTAGACCGCTTCACCTCTCAAAATTATACCAGTAGCGACGCGTTTACCTCAGAGCTCATCATCCACAACACACAGCTGAATGACTCTGGAAAAATTGAATGCAGCATCCAGCAACCTGGTCAGAGCAGCTTTGCGTTTCTTTCTGTTCAAGGTACGTGTAGCCATCAATAGAAAGCTATTTTATTATACTGCACTTAAAGGAATCCTCTGATGGATTGCCCAAATTATTCCTGTAGAGGAGTACATGCTCTCATTTACCATCCTTTGCCTCCTGTCCTCCTTGTCTTAATTTTACAGTCAAAGCAGGTTTCAGAGTCACATTCAGAGTGCCATTAACAAAGGTTTGAACTGCCCTTGTTTTTTCCTGTTATATCTCTTATTCTTTATTGGATTGCATTAAAGTGCCTGAAGGCTATATCAGGCGCACCAGCAGTTGTCAAAAATGATCTTTTGGCTAGAAACAGCATGGATTACCCCATATGCACATCTTTGTATAGGAACCTTCTGCTGTCTTTAGGGCAGATCTCCCTCCTGATTTCTAACTCAGGAATCAGTCTGTCTCCAGCTTATTTGAGTTTGATTTAATGGCATGTAGAAGTAAAGCCCTTGAGACACAAGGCAATACTCTTCATATGATTGCTGCTGCAAGCTACCATTTCCAAGGAACAAAAAGTTCCTGTGTATCAAGCCCCTGTGTATGAGACCTCTTCATCCTCTCTGAAGCATCAGTAGTGACAGAGTGCAGCCATTCAAGCAAGATCTAACCACCAGACACTATGCATTTGTCAAAGAGATGCTTCACGAAATGAGAACATCTCATCATCTACCTGTAAACCTTTCGTGATAAAACCCAAGCATACTTAAAATTGAGAGAGAAACACTGTTATTTCATTATATTGTATTTCAGCTGGAAATATATCAGGATGGCTAAAAAGTATAATTTCCTGCTTTTTATTGGAAGGGTACTGAAAGCCGAGACTTGTGCTTTAGACATACTGGACAATGTGTCCAGGAAGTTGCAATATCTGCATGTTTATATCATGCATATGGTATATCTGTGTTAATAATGATTATTTTAAAATTCATATCTCAAGGCATAGCTAATTCTGGGTAGCAAGATAAGATTTAAAAATATCCATATCTCAAGGCATAGCTAATTCTGGGTAGCAAGATAAGATTTAAAGCTATCAGCAGGAAAGCAATGCAGCCAAATATTCTGAAGGAACAAAACATCTTTTCCCTCCTACAGTTAATGGATCTTTATTCATCAAAAATAGCACCCTAACAGTAAAAGAGAACCAAACAGTTGAAATTGTTTGTGAAGCCTTAGGATGGGCTCCAGCTCCAGACATTACCTGGATGACAAATGATTCTTTCATTGATAAGTCGAGGTATGTTACCCAGCAAAGTCAAGGATCTAATGACCTCCACAATGCCCTGAGCATCCTAACTTTGACTCCGACGGACACTGAGATTTTGACTTGTTTAGCTGACATAGAAGCACTCCCTAACCCTCAGAATGCAACTGTAACTGTTGTTTTTGTCAACTCTACTACAGGTAAGTGAATGTTCATTGTACTTTGCCTATACTATTTTCTCAGAACTGTGCTTTTTGTTTTGTTTTGCTTTGTTTTATTTTGAAAAGTCTTTTATTTGCAAATGAAATATTACCAGATGTGCAACGGTGATAGAATTAAGACCCAATAGTCATTACCTGATACACAGGGTTAAATTCACATATGGGAGAGTACTGGTACAAGTCTTATGAACCACAAAGTCCAGCTTAGGACTGAGCAAGGCAAACGAAGCAGTACACCTGCCACTCCTACTGTGGATCCACTGCTAAGAAAACCAGCCTTTGCTCCTTGATCGAGTAAACCTCTAATGAATTTAGATGTTAAATATTTTTGATTAGACCATGCCTGCCATATGAACATAATTTGTTAGACCTCATTTACTCAAAGCCAAACCTTCAGGTGAAATTGTTCTCCATAATATTTAATACCAGTTTTACCACTGACTTGGGAAAAAGCCCTGGATTTTACTCCCAGTTTCCACACACAACCCAGAATAGATTCTGTACTAGCACTTCAGATGCAAATAGAAAGTTGTCCATGTGAGCTGTGATCAAATGTGATGGAGCTGTTGTAGTAAGGTGGTGACATCCCCAGAGCTGCACTGAGGCTGGCACCTAATTGCAGATGGTAGCATTTATATGTAGGAACTTCTATACCGTATACCTATCATCAATCTACTATAAGAATGTCTTTTGTACATGGTGTATTCACCCATTACAGAGCAAGAATCACATCATCAAGAGAAGCTGCATATCTGAAAGTCTACTTAGATCAGAGAGCCATTGGGCCTGCTTTCCTCTTCCTGGTCTCTTTCGTGTCTTAGAGGAAAGTAAAATTTGTCCCGCAGCAACATATGTGGGATTCTTTAGATAGCGCATTTGGTTGCTTTTTATTGCCTTTTATTTAAGGAAATTCAAGGTCACTTTAATCCAAGCATGGATGTTGAGCAAATCTCTCGAGAACAGTTAGACCTTTGATAGACCCTAACTATTTTCGCTAATGTTGTCAGCATTTTTTGTAATGCTGCTAATCTTTGGCCTTATTGACATCCTATGAAAATAAATTCCATAATTTAGCACATTCACAGTATTAGGAGGTTTATCAGGAAAAGGGTGATTTTATCTGATCTGTGCTGCCAGTGTGGGACAAAGCAAGTGGGACTATCACTACAGGTCTGCCTCATAATCTGAGAGAATCCTATGAAAAATGTTTTTCTTTTCCAAACCATAACACAATAAGAGCAAGTAAGAGGAAGTATCTCCCTGTGGGTTAGCAGTGTTTAGTGCAGACAAGGGAGACAATACAAGACAATTTCTCTGTTGGGACTAGCCAAGTGTCTTAACCGTACGGTAGAGGAGTCTCAAGACCAACTCAACTTGAAGCACTAGTTGCATGGCAGGGAGCTGAGGATACTGGATATAGGTACACTGCCACCTATGGCGAGGTAGTCCTCCCTACAGTGACATCCCTTTTATTAGCCTTATCCTGTGGTATGGGAAATGCATAGGTTATATAGAATTTTTTTGTGGTGGGTCTATGCATCCCCAGCTGTCTTCTGTACAGAGTAAGGCCTCAAATCTACATTCCTTTTCATGATGTGGTGAGTGTTGTGAACTTATAATCATGCTGACAGCTTCTCTTGGTGAACTGATTCTTCTTCTGTAATGGGTGAACACAGCACGTACAAAGACATGCCTATAGTGGATTGATGAGGGGTTTGGTATAGCAGTTTCGACATATAAACAACTGAGGAGGTTGAGTAACTATAACTTTTATTTTAAGTATGAGTCATTATTAGCAAGCCTTTTTCAGAAGTACTCGCTTTGTAGTGCAGTTGAAAAAGGTCATTTCACCATTCTTAATGTGACTTTTTGTAGTCAGATTGCTCCTAATTACTGACTAAGCAAAACAGAACTATCCTGAGGAAATTAATAAATTCCCCTGCCTACTCATTTGTGAAGTACTGAGGTATCCACCCTCAGTTTCCATAGCTACTCGTTGTAAATCAGAAGAGGAGAAAAACAGATGTCATGAAGCACAATTAGGATATAATTAGTGATTGTAGAGGACCATCATTCATTTCTCTTTGGAAAAATCATTGTGCAGCAGCAGACACTCAGAATTTTGTCAGAATATGAGAATATGAAGTCTTTAAATTATTAGAATGAAATAAAGACATGGCATTTACGGCAGACGAGGATATGTAATGTATATATCACACTTGAAATCTCAGAGCTTGTCTGACTTTTCATATACAGACTCAACCTTAGCTAGCTGTTGTCAGGAAAGACTACAACTAGCTTCAAACATCTAAGGAGTCCTTCCCAAAACTACTGTAATATCAATTTCAGCCTTCACTTAAAAGCTTGAGGAATTAAATTCCTCCATGTTCCTCACAAGCAATACCTGCCCATTCACAACAACTGCAACCAAAAATCTGAGCCCTCTTCAGCCACCCATCTCCTGGTCAATGAATGTCCTGCCTTGCTGCACCTCTAGATCAGCCATAATCTCTGACCTTTCCATACAAGGTGATGCATTTTTATGTCAGTCACTTCCCCTCCAGAGGTACCTCACTCACAATGGTGTTTGGCTGAGCCCCGGATTTGGGAACTCCTATGGAGTTATCCCGGCAGATGCATTCACAGCGGTGTCCATGGCAGAGTCCCTTAGCTGGGCCCAAGCTCTCTTCAGCATCAGTGTTGACTTCATGTGGCCTTTGACCTGCAGAAGAGGAAGACAGGGCATCTGCCCTGAGCCTGATCTTCCTTTGCTTTTTAAGTTAGCCAGAAAGCTCCAAAGTGTCCAAGAAGCGATGTACAGCTTTTCCGGTCTCTCATTTCTCCTTGATCACCAGCATGTGCCAGGGAAAATCCCCTTTTCTGCAGATACTTTGCCCAAGTAAATTTTTGGGCAGCTTTGGGAGGAGCCAGAGATCGGGATAGTGGCAAAGGATGGGCCCTATAGAATGAGGAAGTGGCTTCATCCACACTAAGCACCTCATGGAACTTGGTGTGGATTTACTAATGGGGCTAAAAGGGATTTAATGCCCTCCTGCCTTAGGGCCCCTCTCTTGCACCCCTACTTGCGTGTTGAGCTGGCAGCTCCTGCATTCATACCTGCTGGTCCCAGCTCCATTTTCTTTCTGGATCCTCCAAAACAGAGGAGAAACTACAATGCTGAAGAGCTGGGAGTGTTTGTGTTGTATCCAGTCCTTCTTGCTTCAGCTCTGTAGATCCTCTTTTGGCATGTAACCAGAACCTGACAGGGATGAAAATACCTTGGTGTGGCAGCCAGCCTGGAGGTATGGGCCAGTGCAGGTGTGTTTAGTTCCTCCCTTCACACTAAGGTTAAGCTTTCCCCTATAGCTAAATAGCTGTCTTTCATATTTTAGGCATCTTGAAATCCCTGTGGCATGCTTTATGGAACAAAATATGACAAAATATAGATATTTGCTGCAACACTTCTAGATAAAAATATTATGAACAAGTTTATTATCAATTGTAATCACAATTGATTACAACCTACAGAAATAACTACTAGTTTGCAGGTTACTGAGTGCTTGTTTTCTCTAATACTCAGAAGAAATTCAAAACATGCTGATTGAGCATTAGGATTAGAGAAGGCTGGAATGAATTGCTTAAGCATAACGACCTGACCTTTGGAGAATGCAGACTCCTATCAGAGGTTCAAGCCTCGTAGGAGGCTCTGGTCCTGTGTCTTTGCAGTCTGAAACCTCCAAACCCCAAATATATGCCCCGGCAAATCTGTAGATAGAAAGGATTTACTTCTTTATTCTCTGCCATAGGTAAACCAGCAGACACTCTGGTTCACACATCAGGGGCGTAGCCCTGACACAGCGCAGCTACCAGTCACCTGCATTGCTGCGGTACCTTTTCCAGAGGCTGTCAGCTAAATGTAGCCATGCAGTTGTTAACTGGGACCTCTAATGAGGAAATGACAATCATAAACCCAGTGCAACAGAATGGGTTTTGTCAAGTTTGGATGTGTCTCTCACCTGTAATTTGGATTGGAAGTTTGTTTCTAAACAGCTGCCAAAATGACTTTGGGGCTGCTTTTCAAAGGGTAGCCAAATTAGAGATGTTTCTGAAATATTTGGTCAAAATGAAAGGGCAGGATGATGTGACAATATCAGAACCGACATCTTCCTTTTGTATCCAGTGGTGTGAGAAATACAGGGTATTTTTTAAATTCTGTGCACGTGGGAGCTCTTTAGGAAAACTGGTCATAACAACAGATTTCAGCAAGATACTGAATTATCTTGAAATGACCTCATTTAACTCTGTAGATTACAGCAAAGACAAAAGAATAAGTTAATGTTGTGAGAATGTCAGTAGTGAAGATGGATTCGTAGCTGCATATTCCCAAACGGTGCTACTCTTTACAGGTTTTGCTCTTTGCTGCTCTTTAAGTGGATAACAGATTCCCTACCAAGCATGTCCCAAAATCAAACACCTGCTGAAATCAGTGACAGAAATCCCAAGATGAGATTCATGAGAAAATCATATCTACAGGCTAGAGGTCTCCATCTGTACTAGTCACATAAGACTATCGCTGTGGTCTGTGGAGAGAAACGGACACTTCTTCAGAGCTGTTCATCTTATCCAAAGGGACACGTACACATTTGGCCAAATGAATTGTACCCCAAAATACCTATTTTCTCTCCACTGACAACAGCAGCTAGGCAAGATGCATAGTATCTGCAGTACAGACATCTTAAATTGAATTTTAACTCCTCTCCCCAACCCCAAATGTCTCCAAAGGATGTTGGGAGGCCCAGTATATCTACAAAATAAAGCTTAGGTTGGAAGATTGCAAGCCTGTCTTTTTCAGAAGAGAAGTAGCTGTGGGAAAAGTTACAATTGCAATAAAGAACTTGCATTTGGAAACATATTAAATTCTTGGGCACCATCCATAAATACAGAGTCTGTCATTTGGAAAACACAGACTCTGTGTTAAATAATCAACAAGCAGTTAACAGCTTCTCACAGAAAAGGTAAATATTCTGAAAAGGATGTTTTGAGGCTCTGATGGTAAAATGTTTCTCCATTTAATTTAACAGAAAATGATTACAGTGAAGACAACGGAAGCACGCGGGTTATTGTACTTGCAGTTGTGCTTTCATTTGTTGGTATTATTCTTCTGATCATTATTATTGCGGTTGTTGTACGCTGCTGCTGCCTAAAGAAGAAACGTAAGTGGACATTCATAATTGGTCTATACATTAAAAAGTATCTTCAATTAGATATAAAGCTCCTAGTTGTGTCAGCTCTGGTGCTGTGCAAAGACCTGTAAGCAGAAGTGTGAGCAGACAGATCCTGCTCTTAACCATGACCCGGTTAAGATGCTCCTTACTTTCAACTTGCTGTTTCTCTTATAAATTGGTTCCAAAGCAATCAGTGTCAGCCATTCACATTAACTGCAAGTGGGTCGTGTTTTTCAGGAATACGTTAACTTTCAATGACGTTTAGTTCCTAGTTCTTTGTTGAAGCACACCTTCAGTGCTGCGTGCCTAATTTCCAATTTCTGTCTAAGCTGTTCGACAGGGACGTTGCACAATTTTGTAAATAGGGAGGAGAGATGCCCCTGTGGTAGCTGGAACACAGTGCATGCTCTAAGAGGAGCTCTGTAATAGGTCACATTTTAGTTTCCTGCATTTTAAACACATTGCCTTTTTTTTCTTTTTTTCTTCTTTCTTTCTTAGGATCTACGTATCAAAATGAAATAAGGTAAGTTTGATGAGGTGGGAGAATTTTTCCTTTTAACTGAACTCTTTCAGGCTGTCGCAGCAAGGGCCACAGCCGGCAGCAGGCTGTGAACTCTCTTCCCACGATAAACTGGGTGAAAAGAATCAAAATCCTGCAAACGCTGCCTCTCTGATTTAGCAAGCACAGACATCACAAACGGAAAAAATACACTCCTCCTGAAGCTGACGGGCAAAGCAAAGACTTAAAAACTGCCTATACCCCTGGCTACCTGCAGGGTGCCGGCGATTGCCCGCGCCGCCACAGGGGGTCACTGCGAGCCCAGCGGCTCTGCCGGGGCTGCCGCGGGCGGGGAGGGGGGACCCGGACCTCCCGGCCAGAAGCAGCCTTGCCGCCAGCTAATTGGGATAGATTGGCAGGCAAATTAGCCCGTCTCCCCGGCTCTTTTAAGGTTCGTTAGCGTTCGACTGATAAAAAATTAATTAAATAAATAAGGCTGCCCCGATGATGAGTGTCAACACTTAATCAAGTGATTATCAGACGCACTTGAATACAAAGCTGTTGGTACATCATTGCATCGAGTTGGAAAACCTTAGAAATCATGAGCTGATGGTTATCAGCATTAAGATCCTATTTATCGGTGCCAGTGCGGCTGTGACAGACACGTCAGTGGTGCTATTTGGAGTTATTTTTTCTAAGCTTCTAGGGAGCATTGTAAATTCATACGCTGCCTAGGCTTGCAGGGCTTTTAACTCCCCATCTCTTAATGAGTTTACAAAACGTTACACCACTTTGCCTCGTGCTTCAGTAGTACCTAGCTTCATAAACGGCCTCTTGTGGGGAAATTTTGTGAAGGCCTGTTGACAGATTTCCATTTATGCAGCATTTTATTGATGCAAAACAAAATAAGGATATTAGGTAAGCACTACTTTCTCCTGAGGAAATGATGCTAATTATGCCATACCAGTACCATGCTATGCCATACCAGTAAACTTCCATGTGATTTCTTAGTTTGTGATGTTGAATTGATCATTTTACCAAGTGCAGCTATATAAATAGAGCAGGACTAAATCAGCAGGGAATGGGAGGCCAAAAGCAGGTACCACTTGTGTATTGGTTTTGCTGTGAACAAAGTGCTACAAAGCCTTTTTGCTTGGATTCTGACTTGGGTCTGCCTAAAGCCTTCTGCAAGGGTCAACCCTGCTAAAGCCAAATCAATTGAACATGCAGGGAAGCATCTGCCCAGCAGTGGGGACTGGTACGGCCAGGTCCGTGTCCGTCCCAGGACCCTGCCTTGCTGATGCAGGTCTGCACAGTGCTTTCTTTCAGATGAGATGAACAGGTCCAGAACAGGGCATAACGTTACGTTCTCCCTATTTCTTTGAATCTGGTCTGGGCAAATCCAATTATATCTTCATGACAGAATGTGTGTTTTTAGATCTCAGTACAGCAAAGCTCTTATTTTGCCATTAACTGTAAACACGAGTTGTCGTACTGACTTCATAAACATTGCTTACACTCTGAAAGTTAAGCAAACACTTAAGCAAATACTTAAGCACTGGGACGAGTCCAGGCTCTACTGCTTAGCTTGGACTTAGAAACTCAGTGTTGACAGTTCTGCAAAGTTTTAGCATGTGTAAAAATGACACTGAAATCACAGGAATTATTTACAATCACTTACAGATTTTGTAGATTCAGGTTTTTTTTTTTTCTTGGATGGAACCTACCTGCAGTAAAAAGAATAATGGTTGTCCAGATTTTGGAAGCTGCATTGTAGTAGTAGCAAAGAAGTAGTGAGACCGAAGATATATTGTTTTACTTCCCACATTCATTTTTAACTTGGCTGGCTATCCTTCTGTACCTCCCACACTTTTTTGTAGCTGCTTTCAATTTGGCTACTACACTGACTTTGCTGAGATCTAAGGATCGGATACAATCGACAGTATAGTATCATGTAACATGTGGAGGTGGTATTCCTAAACAATTGCTCTTGTCTTCTAGCAACCATGACAGGTTTCTTAGTGGTATCTAACATGTTAACCTCCTAAAAAAGCCACGTAGTCATAGCTGGCTTGTCAGATTTACATGCGCATCAGTAATGCTCATCTGAAGCTCTATGGGCCTGCAAAGTAATTCCTACTAAACATAAAAAAGTAAATGCAGCAGTTTCCACAAATACTGATAACCGTGAATATTTCCCCCTTCCCCTAGAAATCCCTGGGTTGTCATAGTGCTGCTGTCAATTTGTGCTTGCCTCACCAGAAACCTAGGCAAAGATGGACCTGGGACTATCCCAGAGGGGAGTCCATGGTAGGAACAGATGAATAGTAGCGTCTCTTCTAGCATAAGAGTTTTGAGTAAAAAGGCACTCTTTTCTCGCTGTGCAGTGCAGCTATTCAGGTCACCGTTCTGCAAGTTCAGAGATGTGTAACTTTAAGCAAGAAAGTTCTGTCAACTTCACTGTGGCTACTCTCACTTGTAAAGTCCATTTCAAAGTGAAAGATTAACTTTGGAGTGTACAGATGAATCACTTGGGAGCTAACTGTGGTGATATGAGATAACATGCTTTGTTTTTGCAATTGGGGGGGGCCTCAAATCACAAAAATGATGAGCTGTCATAGTGACCTAGCTGGTGTTCCATTATTGGGCCACTGAATATCCTGTAATTCAGAATTAGAGATAAAAAATAATTTCCTACAAAACCTATGATCTGTAAAAGAGTCTTCACTCTTTGAAGATTGCTCACTTTATTTTCCTGCTTTCTGATAATGCAGCTGATGGAAACTTCCTAAATATAATTTCACGGGTAATACTTATATGGGACAAGATTTGTACTAACTAATTACTTGGAAGGCCCAGATATGTTTTGCACCTATTTTTTCATAAGTAAGACTTATAATTTTTTCTCTGTAGCCTACTACCTCAGAGTTCTCATATCATAATGAAGTTCTAATGACAGGCCTTTTTATTTTTAGAAAAGTTTCAGCTGAGAAGAAAAAAGACGGCGATTTGGAAAACAGGCAAAGACATGGTAGTGAAAATCAGGGATACATTCCAGAGGAACTGGGGAACACAGAAAAAATCCCAAGTGAGTCTAAGCTGGTGAATCACATATTGTCAAACTGCTTCTCAGCATAGGCATTTTGGACAACATGTCAAGCAATTACATTACAAGATTTCAAAATACTTTGTGAAGGACTTGTGCTTGGCCTGAACCTCTTCGGAACATTTTGGATTTTCTAGAGTATGGCCCTTCAAAAGTATTGAGAAAACATCAAAGTTCTTTGCGGTGGAATTTAGTTTTAGTCCTGGGCTGTTTTTTTTAAATGCCTTTGTTCTTCCAACTATCTTCTGGGGCCAGAGGTGGGAAAACTGGATTCCCATACGACAGTCAATTTAGGCAATATTTTGCAGTTGCTTTGTAAAAACAAAAAATCCACCACCACCACGAAAAAAGAACAAAAAAAAAGAAAGAAAGAAAGAATAAAAGGCAGTTAGTGAACTACTATTTTACTGATAAATGCCTAAGGCATTATAAATTCTAGTCCTTAAGCACAAAGACTCTTCAAAAGCAAATGTAAATCCCCACCAAATCGTTACCCACCACTTGCATTTATAACCACATTATTATCAAAACGTTTAATCAAATACTTAATGACATAAAATTATTGTGCAGAGTCTATAATCCAGGCATACATCCTTTTCTCTCTAACGAATAAATTGTGAAGAAATGAGTGCAGTGGAAAGATTTCAAGAGCATGTGGTGTTGTAAAATGTAGCACTTATAAAAAATATAAGGAAAACTAAGTAAACCTGGACAAATTGATTCTACTGGGTCCTAGACAGGGTCCTTTAATATTTGTTAGTGTGTTGGGTTGATCTTGGCCGGCCACAAAGTGCTCACCAAGTCGCTCTATCACTCCCCCTTCTCAACAGGACAGGGGAAGAAAATAAGATAGAAAAGCTCATGTGTCAAGATAAAGGAGGGGGAGATCACTCATCAATTACTGTCACGGGCAAAGCAGACTCTACTTGGGGAAGATTAATTTGTTGCCAATTAATAACAGAGTAGGATAGTGAGAAAGAAAAACAAAACTAAAACCACCTCCCCCACCCCTGCTTCTACCAACACTCAACTTCCCTCCTAACTCATCTACCTCCTCCCTACAACCAACAGAGGGGGACAGGCAATGGGGGCTGTGGTCAGTCCATAACACATTGTCTCTGTCGCTCTTTCCTCCTCACACTCTTCCCCTGCTTCAGCGTGGGTTCTTCCCACAGGCTGCAGTTCTTCACGAACTGCTCCAGCATGGGTCCTTTCCATGGTACAGTCCTTCAGGAATGGAGTGCTCCAGTGTGGGTCCCCCACGAGGTCACAGTTCCTGCCAGAAAACCTGCTCCTGCATGGGCTCCTCTCCATGGGGCCACAGCTCATGCCAGGAGCCTGCTCCAGTGTGGGCTCTCCACAGGCTGTAGCTTCCCTCAAGGCACACCCATCGGCTGTGGCAGGGAGTCCTCCACGGGCTGCAGGTGGATATCTGCTCCACAGTGGTCCTCCATGGGCTGCAGGGAGACAACCTGGACCACCATGGTCTTCTCCACAGGCTGTGGGGGAATGTCTGTTCTGGCACCTGGAGCGCGTCCTTACCTCCCTTCTTCACTGGCCTTGGTGTCTGCAGGGATGTTTCTCTCACATTTTCTCACTCCTCTTTCCCAGTTCCTGTTGTGCAGTGTTTTTTACCCTTTCTTAAACACATTATCACAGAGGTGCCACCAGTGTTGCTGATGGGCTCAGCTTTGGCCAGCAGCAGGACCGTCTTGGAGCCAACTGGAACTGGCTGTGTCCGACACGGGGACAGCTCCTGGTGTCTTCTCACAGAAGTCACCCCTGCAAGCTCCTCCCCACTACAAAAACTGTGCCATGTTCGCCCAACAAGTTAGCTAGAGTTTGGCTCACAATATTAAATCATATTTAGCTGTTTTCCTGAATGGCTTGTGGTTCATGCCATGGTGGACACCGAATAACAGTAATCTTGTATATTCTTGTTACAGGAATTGCCTCTCTTCCCCCAGTGTCTTCAAAGTTCACTGTGCCTGCTGCAGATTTACATACCAGTTCTGTATCAAAGGTAATTGTAATACTGATATCTTGACCTTTTTTTTTCATACAGTGTGTATCGTACTATATCCAGACATAGATTTTGGGTGGAGGTAGACATTTATATGTCAATTACAGCTGTAATCGGGTAAGTGGAATGTCCCTTCAGCATTCCTGAATATTTGATTTATAAGGATAAGTGCCCTGGGTGTTAGCCTTGGATTTAGATTGATTTGGGGCGGGGGGGGGGGGGGGGGGGAGGTGAGGGAGAAACAGACCCCCCTGATATTTGGAAGAAATGTCTAATAAAGCTTCTGTCACATCTGTTCCCCTCAGCACGCTGCTACATCTTCCCCTCCACCTCCCAGGCTAAAGTTACAAAGTCACAGACTTCCCCTCATAGAATCACAGAATATCTCAGGTTGGAAGGGAACCATAAGGCTCACCACGTCCAACTCCTTGCTCCTTGCAGGACTACCTAAAACTAAACCATATGACTAAGAGCATCATCCAGATGCTCCTTGAACTCTGACAGGTGTTCAGTCAGTGTCTGCTCTGTCCTCTCCATTGCTTTTCATATCTTTCCTCCTCCAAATGTCAGCTAGGCCTTTCTGCTGGCCAGCATGATGGGTAGCCCTGGCTGGGACAGACTTCCCATAGGTAAAGCCAATTGTCTTTTCATCGTTGCTGGGATTAAAAAGTCTCCTTTATTACCATTAATTAATTCTTTCAGCCTTGCCAGCCGAAGTAACTCTGGTTTGGCTTTTGAGAATTCACCTCTGTGTATATTATGCATTAAACCATTATAATGTGGAGGTTTGCTTTGCTCTGGGCATGTAATAATTCTGGACAGCTGTTATATAGGTGCCTTTGCCAAAGTGGAGGTCTGCAATGTTTTTGTTGTTCTCCCCAGTTGCTAGACTGGAGGAGATGTGGATATAAGATGAAGGCACTGTTGAAGGTGAGGTTTGAGGTTCCTTTGTAAACAAAATCCAGTGCAGATACAGTAAATAAATGTGCATTTTCTCTGGATCATTTCTTGATTGTACTTTCCAATTACACTTCCACATTGTAGAAGTTGCTTCAGCCAGGAACTTTACACTGATCTTAGAGACCTTTGGTATCTCAGCAGTAAACGATGGAAGGGAAAGCATGCAGCCAACACCCAGTCCACCCTAGATCTTTGCCCCCTTTCCACGTGGCTAACACATAAAGAAGTAGAGCTCAGTGTTTATTCCTCTACTTGTTCCGTTCCCAGTCACCTGCATTCTGAAGGGTGGGGCTGGGCTCTCTTAGCTTCTAGCACAACAGCAACGTGGATCTTTGTGCCATGTATTTGTAAAATAAATTTACCACCTCCATGATGGTTTTTGCCAATATTCTCCTGGGAAAGTGGCAGCGATGTGGTACCAAGTTCACTTCTTAACACAGTGATAACTCATTCATTTTTGAAGAGCTGTTTCAACAAGTACAATGCAGAAATCTGTCTTGGGATGACATTGCATATAAATCATAGCAGAGTGTGTCTAGTTCTTTTGGCACACAGTAAAATTTAGGAAGTATTCAATCAATGATTAAAACAATGATCAAAATAATAACAGTCAAAGTAATAGCAATGATACTGATGTATTTGTGGCTGGTAGTTGTTATGTTTGACATTAATTACTTGTCAAACAAAATATTCTTAAAGCAAAGCTGAAAAGCGTGTACAAAACAGCTGAGGGTTCAGTGTGGATCTATAAGCCTGAGCAAAAGTTTCAGGCAGTGTTTGATATGCTTATGAACAGGATTATAAGGCACTGTCTATGTTCACACGCACAAGGCACGTGGCACAGTATGGTCTGCTCTAAGAAGCAAAAGACCTTGGGCTGAGGACCCCGCATCCACCCTCCACACATTTCAGGGGCAGGCAATAACTTCAGTTAGCTCTAGCCATTTCCCAGTGACTGGGTGCTCATTTATGGTTGATGTGCACTGGTTGTGCGCTGGGGGGGCATTAAGCCATTTGGTGTCACCTGAAAGGTGTCCAGTTTGTGTGCTCTCAGATAGCTCCACAGTGAGAACGATAGTGTTGTGAGTGGGGAACATCAGGAGACTGGGTTCACAAGTGTTGGGTTCATGCTCCTCATTCAAACTGAAACACGAACGTAGGTGCAGCCCTTCATGTCAAATGCTAGATTAGATGGCCTAGGAGGTCCCTTGCAGCCCAGTGGCTAGAGAAACATTGAAATCCATCACAAGCACACAGCATAAAGTTGAACCATTTCTGTTAAACCAGTTGTCCCTGGACAATATTTGGTACAAGTCTGTTACGGTGGCTTCTAGCTGCATCAGTAACTGCACACACATTTTTGAAAAATATGAAGAGATAATCTAGAGGTGAAAATTTTTTATAACTGTTTTCCATATGTTGGAGGAATATTTAGCAATCTAAAAATGGCTTGTGAAGACAAACTATTTCTCAGTTTGAACAGGGCTTCTCAGTATATTGTGATGGCCCCATCTTGTATATGCAGGAGCTGATAGAGGTTGATGAAGGTTTACCTTAAATTGTGGATTTTGCAGTCTGTGATTTAAATTTATGGCATCATTTACAATTGTAGTAAAACATTTCCCAGACAAAAAAAAGTGTTTTTCTTTTACATTCATAACCTTCCCTGCTAACTGCATAATAGAGGTTTTCTGACAAAAAGTGTTACTGGATGCATTCTAATAAAGTTCAATCACCACTGTTGCCAATAGATTGCATAAAAAACATTGTGGTGCTCTTTCGTTATATTTCTTGTCAAGTAGAAGAAAATAGATGGCAAGCCATTTAACTATTTGCTGATTAGAGCCGAATCAAACACTTTCTTCAGAAAACACCTGCCTTCCTGTCACTGCATTTTCTAAGCAGACAAAGTTGTGTTTCTCAGTTGTCTTTCCCTGCCTGGATACTTGAAACATTCCCAAAGGCTTTTCATCTTTATTTTTCTGGACTTTTAAATGAGAAATAGGGGGTAAAAAAAACAGGAGGAAGAGAAGTTATCCATAGTGAAGGAGGTCATAAAGTGGTGGACTCCAGCAAATTGCCTGTCTCTCCCTGGATAATCCAGAAAAACAAGCAAACATCCTTGCAGTGCTTTTATGGAGGTCAAGAAGAAGGAGTGAAGAACCCAAGTCCTCCCTCAGGAGCAGGGTGGGGAAGGAACGAGGAGCCCATCTACTGATGGAAAGAGTCACAGAGACTGAAGAACTAAAGCCTTGTCTCTCCACCACTGCAAGGTGAAAGAAGCTAAGATTTCTGTGATTGACTTCCTTGTCACCTTATGGGATCAGAATTAAACACAGCAACAAGGCCAGAAAATAGGTCCATATGGGCAAAGTTTGAACAGAGAGTTTTAAAATTAAAAGAAGCTCATGGATGTGGGCATGAGATGAAAGCAGGGCAATTGCAGTGAATGAAGATTTTTCAAGTTAGCATTTTGACTGGACAGAGACAATCGTATGTGCTGCACAGCCCACTTCCACTCCCAAGAGAAAACTGGATGGAAAGTTTCAGCACAGGTCAGAGGCATTAGGCAATCTCCACGTGTCTCTGAAGGTATCAGCTTCAAATTTGATTGCTTCTGTTCCTTATGTAAAAAGTTACAATTTTAAATGATTTGAGAGATTAAGGGAGACTTTGTATCACAGGTTTTGTTTCCTCAGAAGTCCTTGCCCATGGACCCAACCAGGTACAAAGCCTGAAATACCTGGTGGGTCTCATTGCAAAAGGTGACAACAGAAAATCACTTAGGTCAGCTATTGGCCATTCAAACTCTTTGAATCAGAAACTAATGCAAAACGTTCACAGAAGATAAATGTTGCCCAGCAATTGCACTGATCAATTCACAACATGAACAAAAGATTTGGCAAATCATCTTACGGAAAAGTAACACCTCAGCGAAGAAGAAGGGGGGAAACAAAGGTGTGCGAGACATTTAAAAAATGATGAATATTGAACTAAATTATTGAGCTAAGGAAAAAAACTACCAGCCAGTGGAAGAGGAAGCCAGGAGCATCAGTCAGGGTTGCTGGAAGGTCTTCATTCTGATTACATTAGCCAAGAAAAGGTCAAATTGAGAGTACAGTTACAGGCTTCTGTTTAATTGCATATTTTGTTATTGTCAGCGATGGGAGGAGAGTGATCCTTGCTCCTAGGCTGAGCTGCAGGCCACATGGGTGTTAGGGACCAAAGTCCCATCTCATGCCCTGACCCATTGCTCAAACTTCCTTCCAAAACCCAAGTACAATGAGGAGAATCCCTTACCTTGGCTCTAGCAGATTTTGGGGCAGTCCCACAGACAGTTTAGCCTGAACAAGGGCCATAAGGCCAGTTCTGCCAGGTCCTGAGTGCCACCTCCAAGGAACTGCATTTTTTCAAGTCCCACTGCTACAAAAGGAGCTCTAAGGACTCAGCATCTTGCAGGACTGAACAGTCTCCTACACAAGCTTCATAATTAGTCCATTTAATACGTCATAAATGTCTCAATGATAAATCAGAAGACCATTTCATAAGGGGGAGTGAGTGCTCATTTATAGGGGACCAGATTCATCCCTGATGTAATTCAGCTGACTTCAGCACAGCTACAGGAGGCTTGCACTTGCCACCACAGCCACACTCCTCCTCTCCAATCCAGAGTGAGTCATGGCTCCATTAATGGGGAAGGATCTATTTTTCTTCTTAACTACTCCAAATGACACTCTATAAACTGGAAATATTATTTAGTTGTGGTTGTGGTTTTATACTGGGAAGGAAATGAATGATGAATTGTAGCTCCATTTATTGCACTGTATATAACTGCTCTGACTCTGAGGATTGTTTGAAAAGAAAAATTAAGCTATCAAAATCGAATTAAAAGGTCAATAAAATAGAAATATAAACCAATGACAGCGAATAATTTTACCCCTACTGATGAAATGTACTATAGAGTATGTCATGTTATGATATTCATTGGTCAGCGTATCTTCATTAAGAGAGTAATAAATATTGATGATACAGATATAGAAAAGGCAGGTGCAGTTTACAGCATAATTTTTCCAAGTGTCTGTAGAAGAAGGGGAAGAGTGAAGTTATGTGGGTGGGATTAACCCACGAAGAAATGAGAAGGAATTTCCAGACTCTATGTCTATTGATGGACAGGGAAATGTGCTGAGTGTACGAAAAGTTGACAGGATGGAACTGGTTTGCTATTTGAAGCAGTAGTGTATCTGAATTATTTTAGGGTATCCAGAACTTTTGGGTGGGTGTTTTCCTGTAAATGAAGTGAATTTGGAATGAGAATTAAAAACTGAGGGCAGTTTTTTCTGAAATAACCTTCAGAAACAGAAAGCTGTGTCTCCCTGATTTTTTCTTCTAACTGTTAGCCAAATGTGTGATGCATGCAGACACATTTGGAAGTACTCCTACCACATTAATTTCAGCAATTTGTTCTAATGCAGTTAGACTTGGATTTTTTTTTTGGCTGGCTAATAGCAGGCAAAGCCTTCAGTTTATCATACATTTCCACAGCGTCAGTGTCTGAGGAGCTGCCATCTGTCAAATCAATTTAAAGATCAGAGCCCTGTTTCATAATGACAGATGTGTGTTCATCCTTCATATCACTGATGTCATATGGGTTGCAGAAATGACTACAACATGCTTGTAATAGCAGAAGTCCTTCTTTCATTGACTGAAGATCAGTATTCCAAACATCAGTGAAGGATTCAACTCTGAAATCAGCTGATGCACACACTCATTTTACCTTCTGATTCATCCATGTATTGCTAGCTCTCTTTTTGTCTGGCTGAAGAGCTGGAAGAGATGGAAAAATTTGGACACGTGTTTCCCCAACCAAACCAACAAACTATGCAAAGCTTTTCCCAGTATACTAGTCCCTTTATAGTAATCCCTATTAAAAGGCATCCAGGGCAGATGATAAGTCAACAGGCAGGCTTTGAAACATGTGACTGTCAAATATCCATGGTTAACTAGATGCCAAGCTGACAGTACAAAGAGATTTAGAACTAGGTAAAAGAAATTCTGACGATATTCCATACTTACTGATGGGGGGATCACTTAGAAACAGTCCTGTAATGTTGGGCTGTGCAGCGAACCACTACAGCTGTCTTCTTTCCATTCAATGTGTAGGATGTAATGAATAATGACACCATTTTTTCTCAGACTAGGACTGACAGGACTAGTAGAGTGCTGAATTAATCTGAAAAAGAAACAACTTTGAAACCAAAACCAAGCAGAGGCTCTAGCAGCTGTAGCATATCAGGGTCTAAATATGAAATGGTTGTTGTGGTCCTACTCCTCTGCGTTTTGTATTTGTAGTGTGTTGTATGAGATCTTCTATAGCATCAGAAAATGAGTTTTAGGTCACTGATCAGCAGCCAGCAGCCTCCATTTCAGTGAAGTTATATCCAGTGAACTGCAATCTCAGTGAGGCTATGCTACTTAGGGAAAGCTCCACAGAAAATGGGCCAGTACACAGCATGAGTTGATGGAAATTCATGAAATTATTCATTAATTGATATCAGAGCACAGTGAGAATAAAATATAAGTAACCCAGGGCATTTGCTCTAAATCAGATAACTATGAAAGATGCAGCAGGGCAGAGGCAAACCATCGGGGGCACAGTCCCCACCCCAGGAGCAAACTTGCTGCTTGGTTCCTCCTTTGGTGGTGAGGAGAAATGACATGACAAGGCAGGGGCTGGATGGCTCATTCTTGAAGATGAGATTTTTAAAGCAAAAGAGGCATGCTTGGGTTATATTTTCCCCAGTGCTGTAAGGGAAGAATAGGGCAGTCTGGATCCAGCTGGCGCAAGTCCTCTGGCTCCCTCCTATTCAAAATCACATGCAACCCAAAATCTTCCATAGTATTGCCTACTAATGGCCATAAACACTGCCTCTTTCAACAACATAATTTGATGAACTTTCTGATTAATGTTTTCTTTCTTTTAGTAAATCTGGGTGCAATACAGTATTTTTGCGCAACAAATTCTGGGAAATATTCCCACCCTGGTATTTTGCTAAACACGGGATTCAAATAATGACCTATTTCAGGAAGTTTCAGAGACAGTGTTCAATGAGGTGCCCTTGGACCCCATCTGAAACTTTTTGGTTATTACTGGTAACTCAATATGCTAACTAGTTCAGTATACTTTATACTCAAAGGACAGTCCACAGTATCTGGGAATGCTTGCTTTCCACAAACATAACACTTGCCTTCAGCTTTTTTCAGATTTTTTTTTTCATTCTACTTGTAAATTGGTTATTTCTGGGGGGGGCAGTAGTAGAGAGCTTCTCAAAACCTCTGTCCTCATGAGAAAGCCTGCCATAACAGACCTGTAACTGAATGATCAGGAAATGCCAAATAACTGTTCTGCCATAAATGGAGCAAATCTCATCATATATTAATCTCCAGGGTAACACAGACCAGAGGAAACTTCTGATGTGCTCTGGAAATGAATGAGTGATGTCTCTGTTTAGCACCAGTAAGGTCTTCAGACTGAACTGCAAGAAATTAAGTGCATCAGAGAGATCTTGGATAAGGTCTCTTGGGCAGAGACAGGCAATCCTGTTACTTCCCAGAGCACCTCTCGTCTCTGCAGAAATAAACAGTAAAGAAGGGTAAATTTAGAAAACAGCAGTATGTTCTAGCAACAAAAAGGGATGGGGAGGAGGGGGAAGAAAAAGAGTTGTGTTTAAAACAGAAGGCAGCTGTCTTATGAAATGTTTCTAGAATAGTTATATTTATCCCATGTTTTTTCTTGAGGTGCTGGGACTCATTAAATACCAGAGACATGTTGTCCACATTTGTTATCTAACATTTTCCTCTATGGCTTATTCAATAATGTATATGTACCAAATGAATTATTTAAGATGTTTAATACTGGAAGAATACCAAGGCAATACAGACTGTACATGATTAATGTTCCAGAAACAAACCACAAGAAGATTGGTCAATTGTTAGGAACCAGCTTGGGCTTGATAAAAAATTCCACCAGGAAGAACAGTGAAATTTCCATTCATTTCCAAGGGCTTGAGACCAGGTGGGGAAGTTGCAAGGAACAGTAGCCAGCAGATCGCATCTACTTGGAGGTAGATAAAACCAACACTGGGGCTGGCGGCAGCAAACCATTCAACTGTAGTGTTTCATTCAGGAAGCTATGTAAAGATAAATGTTTATACCTTTGGAAGAAATTTTCATTCCTTAGAGCTACTTTGTAATTATCTATGTGAGGTCTCACTACTACATTTAAATATCCAAAGGGTATGTTTCTTGGATGCATTTGAGAATGAATTTTTCTTTGTTTTTTCCTCTGCAATGATATTTTGTAAAAGTGCATAAGTAATTAGAACTGGAAATCCACTGCACTGATTTCAAATGAGGATAGGGTTTTCAAAACTGCTGAGCATTTGCCCTGCACTGATCCCACTGGGGTCAGTTTGAAAACAGGCTGCTGTCAATGGAAGTGGAATCATGCCAGTTGTGGGAACTTTAAAAAAAGCCTGCCTTGAATAAACACCGAGATGTTGAGAGCAGTTTTGCAGATACATGAAATACTGACGTGCTTATTGTTGTAATTTCTAATGTATTTGAAAAGCAATGTCAGATGTTAAGTTTTTCTTACAGCTTAATGGGTAGTTTCTTTAAGAGAACCAGAGAAGAAACACCCAATATCATGTTTTGCTTAAAAGAATACAGACTGCAGAGTCCACAAGAAGTTCTCAGATAGCATAAGACCAGTTAATGATTCCCAGAACTGCCATCAGTGTGTTGCATGTGAAGTTTTTGTTTTGTTCTGCTGTTCATCCTTTCCTTTGTATTTAGATTTTGAGTGGGCTGCTGATGATAGAATTCATTTTGGTATAATGCTCTGGGGTGAGGGTTTGGCAGGTAACCTCCTGAGGACCCTTGAGGGACTGCTTTTCTAGGATTTCTTTTAGTTCTATAACTGTTTTTACTCTCCCATAGGTGCGACCTCAAAGACGTACTGATTATCTGATCAGCCCAAAGAAAATTAGAAACGTGACACTTGTTTAGGATGTACTTCTTCAGGAAATTTCTCTGTCAGTTGCATTTTACATGTTTGGATGGCTATCTGCAACAGAGAAAGGTTAACACCAGTTCTCTCAGTTTAAGCTATAAGTTATTTTTCCTTTTTTCCTCATGTAATGAAATAAAATTGCAACCTTTATAAAGTAGCATATGATATCTCAGCAAAATAATGGACATAAATGACAGCCTTAACTTCAGAGACAACGAATTTGATGGGACTCTGCAAGAACAAGAATCCGTGCTTTGGGTCCCAAGGAAATCGGCAAAACTCCTATCAGACAGAAATGTTAGGTTATCCACAGCAAGATCAAGGACTGGAACTGCAAGAGATTTATTAGTTCAAAATAACTGGTTAATAATAATACTGGTTAATACAATATCTACTGCTTTTTTTTATGTACTTTATGTAAAGCTGATCATCTTGAGCTTATAGATCAACAACATTTTCCAATTTCTGTTCTGTAATAAAATTAAGGGAAGTTTTCATGTGGGCTGTTTCAAAATTTCTAATAAAACTATCTTTGGATCAGAAATGAATTTTTTCATTTCAATACATTCTTTTGTTAAAGCTATTTGTCTTAAACCCAGTGTTCCACTTTTAAATAAAAAACGATCACCCATGTGCCAAAAAAATCCTATTTTGATTGAAGTGCAAAAATCTTAAGCTGAAAAATGTGGATTTGAAACTCCTGACTTTTAGGAGTTGTTGCTTGAATGCTTTATGTCTCTGTTTTACTTGTGGGCTGAATTTGGCAGCCAAATGACTTGGGTCACAGCAAATGGTGGCTGCTGGTATTCATGCTGGACCCTGTTGTTTCATCAGGGATAGAATTGATAATGACCATGGGAAGTGCACTTTAGCTAGGCAACTTTGTCAATAGAGCAGATCTGGCACATGGACCCTATAGGTACCTTCCCAATCTAAAAATTATGATTTCTAGCTGAAATGTTTTGTCTGAAATTTTGTATTTCATAATAAAGAGTTCAAGCTTATTATTTTTCTACAAAAAAGCAAACTTCTTTCAGAAAAACAAGATATTTTCAGTGTACTCGTCTTTCTACCCACTCAAAGAATTCTGATTTATTCAGTGTTTTGCATGTTAATCTTTTGTAAGAACAAATGCAGGTGCTCTTTGAGTGCTGAAAGAAGCCGCTACATAGAATTACTTTCAGTGATAATCTGTACAACAAAAATAAGAAATTGGAAACCTGATCTCAGGAAAAAGAAGTTGTTTTGCATGTTTAGCATTTGGCATCTCATTAAATTGTGACAGATTTTGCACTGCTAGTCGCATTTTCAGTCAGTCTGTCAGAACAAGTGCTGCAACCAATTCACGGTCTGCCATGTGCAATTGTATACAAAGCTGTTTCAAATTCTGCCCATATGTCTTGATTGGTTAAGGAGGAGCTTTGAAATGCATTCCTATCGAATGCAATTGTACCAACAGCATGATATGTAAATAGCTATAGTGTTATACAGAAAAAATATAAGCAATTTACATTGTGGAATATCTGTGTTTTTTCCTTGAAATAACCATGCGCTGAGAGAAACGTCTACCTTATTCTGATACAAGTATTGCTATTGCTGGCATCTCTTAGTTACTACTGTAGCTTAATGCAGCCTAAGCACAAACAAAAATCCACTTTATTAGAGGAATGTTCATTGCATGAGAGAGAGAGGCCTGTAACTTGGGGATAAAAAACACGGACCTTTGGCTTTCTGTGCACGTGCATGGTTAGCAAGCCTTCTGGTTGTCGGAAAAGTAACCCTGCAGTACAAAAATGAAAACTGCATGGAGGCAGTAGTTTCCCAGCAGAAAATGTTCATTCATTAGAATGTATTTTGAAAAGGAATCAAACTATACTATGTTGTTTATCTCAAAGCCCTTGATTTCAAGCTTAGCTTCGATATTATTTGGTATCACATTAAAGCAGCCAACCTAGAGCTGAAGAAAACCTTTTCTCCAATTAATCTGTATCCTTCTGCATTAATCAAAAACACTGTTGTGTCAAGGCCACGGGCAAGAGGACACATGCTCTGAGCCAAAAGACGGACTCCTGTGTCAGCATTATGGTGCCTTCCATGCTGGGGAGTCCCCACTGAGATTTCCACACTGTGCTACCTGGTGCTTGAGGCTCTTCAGAGGACACCAGCAGTGCTTCCCAGATGGGTTTTCAGGCTGTGGTTGGGTAAAAGGATCTCCTGACACTGCTGTTGAATGAATGAGCTGATGTGAGACCCCTAATTTGGGAACCGTGTGGGAGCCCCCTTCCCTGCTGACAGCTCTAAGCTGTAGTGGTCAGACATCAGGGGCATGCAGCCAGGTCACCCTTCAGCTGTGCATCTTGTCTGGGAGCTGGAAAGTGCTCCAGCGTGCCACACTTACCTTGGGGACCACTTGCCAGCAGATGATTGCCAGTGGACAACACACAGCAGCAACAGGAATTACACCCCACTGACTGCACATCCCACTGACTTGGACAAACGAAGGTTTTTCGCACAAATGGGTACCACAACCATGGAAACGTGCACATTAACCAGAGTCTGGAGCTATATTCCTTCCTGCCGGCTACAAGAATGCATCCCACACAGCTATGGTATACTCTTAACAGCATCAGCATGAGGCTAAAAATTCTTACGGTGTCCTTGAAATTTATAGTTGGGGGCATTTGTATGCGTCCAGATTTGTTTTCTTCAGGCACATTATACCGCCTGTATATCATTTCCAGTACTAGCTGTTACTTATGTTTGCAAATAGAGCTCCACAAACAACAATACATAAAATACAGATACAATTTTTAGCACACAGGGAATATAAAATATGCAGGCACTTTTAGAAGACAGAGTAGACTAAAAATATTGAATTTCAGGCACTTTATGGAGACACCAATCTTTTGTACACATGCATATTGATTTATAATTATGACTTGAGGGACATTTTAGTAATCTAGAAGTATCTAGTTTTTACTGCTCACAGACTGTGCACAGTTTGGTAATATAAAACCCTTCTACGTTTCCTTACAAAATGTTCCGATTTGAATTCCATACATGTACATGCGAGAAAAAACGCATTGGAGATAAACAGTATTTCATTCTATGGTAAGGTTTCCTGAAGTTGTCTCACCAATTTTATATTTCGCAGAAAATTCAGGCTACCCTTAATACAAAGGCACTTAAAAATAACACTGGCTTCATGTGGAGGTTTCTTTTTACAGTAAAAAAGCACCTCAGGTTCGTGTGGGCTGAGCGGAATCAACAGATGAACTCTTACTGGAGGGTACTCACAATATTGACTGAACATTCGGTTTCTTACTGATCTGATTGAACAGAGCTTCTATTTTCAGTATTTATTTGGTAGAATATATAAGATGTGGTGCTGCAAACCTAAAATACACCATTCTCAAGTATATCTCCCAGTGACAGAGGGGAACTCTTTGGTTACTGGCCGCACTATCTCTTTCTTCAAAAGGATCCTGCATGGGGCAGGAAGGATGCAGCATCCCACAAGTTTCCCCAGCAGAAGCTCCTGGAAAACCAGAGGATGGTCCCTCGAAGTGTTGCAGATAACGCATCTTATTACCCTTGCCTATCCACCCAAATAGATCTTACCCATCTAAAATGGGGCCCACCCCCAACTCCCCCTCCCTGAATTTCTCTAAATCTCACACCCACATTCCCAGAAATACAATAAAATTAATCCAGTGGCCTCATGGTAACTGTGTAAGTATAATTAAGCAATCAGTACAGACCAAAATTGTCTCATATGGTCAAGCTATAATAAAAAAAACCCCTAGCTGCCAATAGAAGAACACTGCTCCCAAAACACCTTTGGCGTCTTAGTACTTTTTTTCTGAACAGCCTCCAAAACCTCTTCTAAAGATGAGGTTGAGAAGTGAAATTCATAAAGCCACTTGATATGGAGGAGCACGCTCTCAGTAGATGTGACTTATGATTAGACTCTCCTCCTACTCACCATGATCGACTCTTGTTCCCCAGGCTATAAACTACCTGCCTCTTCTTCCCCCAGGTGACAAGCAACTTCATTTAGCTTTAACTTTCTCTGTCTCTCACTTTCCTCCCTCTTTACCATCCTTTCTTCTACCAAATGTCTTTTCATTAAACAAAGGCCTAATTGATACATACCTAATTAACATCTGAGCATTTGTTCTCAGCTTGTATTTAGCTCTGAAAATTGCTGCTTCTATTTCAGACCTGAATAAGGGCTTGCATACCTGAAAGTTTGCCTAATATTTCCAGCAATACCAGCTGATCCAATAAAACATACTACCTCTACCTGCAAACTTTCTCTGGGCTATGCACACACATTGATGGCTGCGTATTTCCATCATCCACCCACTGGGACTTCAGGAGGACACTGTGCAAATCTCAGCTGGCCCTCCTGGACTGCTGTTGGGAAAAAATGGAGCAAGAAAGAGAAGCCAAGTCAAGTCCACACTAACATGTCTGCACCAAACCTCCTCAGCCAGTGGAAAAGTTAGCCATGTTGCTGTGGAGGTGGGATTTGATAGAAGCGCTCTGCACTGCTGCCGCCTGTAGCTCTGAATGAGGGTCCTGCCCTTCTGCCCTGGGGAATTCAGTTTTTTCTTACCCGTTCGTCACCCTGCTCTGTTCTTTGGGAGGTGCAGGTTGGTAACAACTCCTTTACATTATCCTAGAAATCATGCATTATTTATGCTAGATTAGCACAGATGATAGTTATTTAAATGAATATGGATATTTGCTGGCTCAGAGGAATATTGCAATAGGCTATTCCTTTTCAGCTCAGAGAATTAATGTCTGGGAGCTTCCAGTGTCATTCGGCATTAGTTCTCATAGCAGAACTCACGTCACACAGATGTTATTTGTATTGTTTATTTTCTGCTGTGGTATGATCACTCCCTCAAATAAGGCTTACACTAAGTGCTTTTTTTTAGAAATCGTGTTCCAGCAAAACACTCTGTTTATTTTTGTTTTGGGGAAAGAA